CAGCAGTCAGTCAGTGAACCGATGCAGTTTGATTGGTCAGGTTTCGCAAGATAAGCTCAGGGCCGGAACGGATTAAACTCGTTAACCAAGGTTCCACTGTACTAATAAAACGATGCGATGCCTTTTGTAGGTCACAGCACCGCGTGGATTTGCGTACTGCACCTATAGCTCACAAGCCACGCTACCCTCCACCATCAACCACTGTTCCAATTCGGGCTGTGTGGAGCGAATAAATCAAGTTTTGTCTCATGAAAAGAAGACGGCAATTCAAGACGACAAAGAGCAGCTTACTTGATTCCGTTTCAGCAGTATTGAAGGACCGGATCTGCGAGGACTCAGAGGGCGATGCGTCGGATCTGAGTCCACTACCTCTGGTTAAGCTGGTGGAAAGGAACGAGGACGAGAGAAAGAGAAAGGCATGTTAGTACTAAACAAATTTGGAAGGAGCATATAAGGGTAGGGGGAGAGTGTGAGATCAAAATATTTAGGAACGGCCAATGCACCACTGGTTGGATAAGCATCCGGCCTTTAAGAAGTGCCGCCCTCTGCACTTTTACTTGCTGCATTATAACACGACTAACTTAAAACATGGGATGCCCGTTTTCTACACCAGCTGTGGATTTTTACAATAAATAAAGTGGAGAAATTTGGCCAACTCTTAGTAAAACTTCCCTGAACGTCTTGGCTGTGCATGAACGAGGAAGAGCGGGAGGTATGGGCGACCAGATCGACGCCAACAATAGCTTGGTACTAGTAACAAGAAGAAGGCGTTATTGATCGGCCCCCGAGTTGCTATTCTCACATTGTGACAACCTCTCTCTCTCAGCCACCTTTAACTGGTAGGCCGGTCCATCAGATGACGCACAACTACCATCTCATGCTGGCTTTCTCGATGACTACGTGGGTAAACCGTAGATCGGAAAACTATCCCCTCACCTGTCTGAAGTGCAGGAAATGTCTGTCGGACAGGGAGTAACTATCGACCGCATAAAGCGGACAGAACTCGTAACAATACATACGACCGAAACACTGGATTCATATAATTATTCGTCCCGGATTCCCGATGGCTTCATTAACTGGAGTTCATTGTAATGAATTCTAACTAATTATTGGTGGAATCCTACTTTGGGTCCCAGCAATTGTTTAAGGAATCTAATGTTTTCGCAATGAAGTAGGGCGTCATATAGTTCTAGAGAAATTTACGTAGATTTCTTACTTACCTGTAGTTTATTGGGTATGACAAACTTGGGGATTAAGCTTCGCGCCACGAACACCTTCAATTTACATGAACAACAATTAGAAGTTAGTTTATTTTTGGTTTATTTAACTTAGTTATAGTTAAATTCGGTTCTAAGTTTAGTTTACAGTTCATTATTAAATGTTGGCTATTTTTATTTTAGTTTTCAATTATCTTTTAGTTGAGTGAGTCAACCTTACTTAAGTTTGTGTTTCTCAGTTAGTTTATCTTCGTTTTAGTCAGTTATTTTTTAATTAAGTTATTTCCCAATGTTTTCATAATTGCACATTTTAATTATGGCGCGTTTTTGTTGAGAAAAAAAAGTTTATTAAAATAATTTTTCATTTTTTCTACATTTATGAGCTCAATTTCTTTTATTTATATTCCCTTTCGTTTGTATTGCCCACACTGTATTAAACCCGATCCTGTATTACAGAAGGATGGGGCTTTCGCGTACTGATCTGGGACCCGAAGTTGGATTCTACCTGGTTATTTGTACGTAATTAATGGCTTCGTTGACATCAGAATAGTGGAAAGGACTGTTTACTCCACTACCGCAGTTATTTCTTCAGACGCTTAAGGGAACTACAACAGCACTTGCGATTATAAGGAAGAACAGAGTATAGCCTTTTTAAACATATGCACTGCATTGCTAAAGCACTGTCTTTGGAAATATTTTGATATCAGACAGTCCAGCAAAAATAGTCATGAAAGGGGCATGTCTGATCAGACTGACCTTTCGTACTAACTAAAAGATACAGGAAAGAGCACATGCTGCAAGGATCGCGACTCCTTCCGAGGAGCGATGTGACAGGTGATTTGGCAACTACTCGTTTAAATGCGGCGCAAGGCTCGGTGTGGATTGCTCATAGAGTATTTCTCACTCTTTTGCCAGTTATCCACACAAAGTGTCTCAAAAAACCAGGCCAAAACGCGTAAACGAATGATATCGCCAATTTGCACGGCCGTTGCCATTGAAATAAGAGACCCTGCAACTTCATTGGATTGGTACAGCTTCCTTCGTTCACAGTGTGCCGATTTTTTTGCACAGTTCAGCCAAGTTTAAATAGTGCAAGTTTAGACAAAACCTCGATCGTCGTAAAGTACATTTGACCAGGTATACAAGATGAACTTTTAGCGCACTAGAGGGCGGGGAAAAATCAGCGTCGACGTGCTTAGCCTACAAGATTCGTTGGAAAGAAAAATACCCCGTTTATAAGCCACTTAGATGCCCTGGTGCACAACAACGAGCAATTGTTTGTCTAGTTTCTCTTACGCCCCCC